ATCATTGTGAAGTCCTACTTGTAATGTAAAAAATGTAAATTATTGAGTGAGATATTGGACTTTCATCATGACCGGAAGTGTGTGATCATCAGATTGTCATGGGAAAAAAGGAAGTTTCACCTAATTAATTCAGAGAAACCGATAGTTAAGTGTGATCCTAATGTGAAAATGAGGTCAGACAAAGTGTAAAGATTTTATCAGTAGATATTGATGTATTAGCTATATATATATAGTCTTCTTTTAACTTTCATCTTTGCTATCACTGTAAATACAAGATAAACAAATTTGTGTGTTTGATTAATAATCAAATCATGAATTCTACCCTAGGCAAAAAAAAAATATACATGTACAGTCAAACCTGTCTATAAAGGTCACCTTCAGGACCAGAGAAAACTGACTTTACAAGAGACTCAGGTGACCATTTGATTTTGAGGGTCAAAATGCATAGGTATTTCTACAGTGCGACCTGCCTAAACAAGTTTTCGCTTAATAGCTAGCTAGAGGTGACTTTTAAAGCAGGTTTGACTATTTTTCTGACACGTATCCTGCCACATTAAAGTTAGCAACTCTAAATGTCCCTTCCTACCCAAACATGTTTTTAGCTTTATTGTTTAAAGTCTTGACTTTTTTTTCGTAAAGAACCTTTAAAGTTAAAAAAATATTTAATGAGGTGATAGACATTGAAAAATTAAATTATTTTTTTATTTACCTAACTTCCCACTCTATTTTTTTCTGCAGTAAACAAGTATAGGTTTTGCCTTATATAGACATGATAGTTTTATTCATATATATATATATATGATCATTATATAATGATAAAGAAAATAAAAAAAGGAATATGAAAACTTCTCAGAAAAAAAAAAACTGTTAGCCGTAGCCATGCTAGCTGAGAGAAATTACATCTGGCCTATTGTGTGTTGGTAGACCTTTCATAGCTGGCAAGGAATTTCTGAAATACAAACAAGGGAGGAAAGGGGGGGGGGGGGGGTGAGGCAAGAAAGAGAGGTTCAAAAAATTAGTATTGTGTTTTTCACTCATTATATTCCAATCAACAGATTATATTTGCACATGCCAATTTTTATGATGTTTGTTGCGTGAAGCAAGAGCAAGTCTAGTAACCGCCCAAAATTGATATGTCATTCCTTCTGTTTTTCTGTCTGTCTGTCTGTAACACAGAGGGTACCTGGTATGTTTCACATGTTACACCAACAGTATTCCTTCATCATTTTTCAAACTTGACTCAGTTCCACCATTGCACACAGATTCAAGATGTACAGTACACTGCAATTTTGGATTGATTTGAATTATTTTCGCTGGTTTGCCACTTATGGAAGGTACAATGTAGCCATTTTGTCCTTGAATACTTGAGAGGGTACACATGTACCTTATTTGTTTCATCTGCTGCAACTCTTAACTTTTTTTCTTCAACATTTTTCAAAGCAGCACCGTATGTCCACACAGGTCCAGATGCAATTGTTTCTCAGGTTTCCCACTTGTGGAAGGTAGGCACTTTGTCCTTGAATATACTTGAAATGGTACACATGTACCTAGTTTGTTTCATTTGTAACCCCAATTTTTTTCTTCAACATTATTCAAAGCAGCACCATATGTCCACACTGGTCCAGATGCAATAGTTTTTCAGGTTTCCCACTTATGGAAGGTAGGCAATGTGTCCTTGAATATACTTGAAATGGTACACATGTACCTAGTTTGTTTCATTTGTAACCCCAACTTTTTTCTTCAACATTATTCAAAGCAGCACCATATGTCCACACAGGTCCAGATACAATATTTTCTCAGGTTTCCCACTTGTGGAAGGTAGCCAGTTTGTCCTTTAATACATAGTAGTTAGCTACACATGTACATGTACCTAGTTTCTTTCATCTGTAACTTCATCATTATTCAAAACAGCACATGTGACACTAGTTTGATTCATCTGTTACCCAAGCTTTTTTCTTCAATATTTATATTCAAAGCAGTACCATATATCCACACAGGTCCAGATGCAATAGTTTCTCAGGTTTCCCACTTGTGGAAGGTAGCCAGTTTGTCCTTGAATATATATTAGAGAGCTCGAGGGTACACATGTAAATGTACTTAGTTTCTTTCATCTGTAACTTCAACATTATTCAAAACAGCACATGTGACACTAGTTTGTTTCATCTGTAACCCCAACTTTATTCTTCAACATTTAATTCAAAGCAGCACCATATGTCGACACGAGGTCCAAATGCAATAATAGTTTCTCAGGTTTCCCACTTGTGGAAGGTAGCCAGTTTGTCCTTGAATATATATATTAGAGAGGGTACACATGTAAATGTAATTAGTTTCTTTCATCTGTAACTTCAACATTATTCAAAACAGCACATGTGACACAGGTCCAGACACAGTATTTGACATATGCAGGTAATGTGTAAATAAACTCATCATAAATACCAGGATTGAAATTTTATATTTGCGCCAGACGCGCCTTTCGTCTACAAAAGACTCATCAGTGACATTCTAATCAAAAATGTTATAAAGGCCAAATAAAGTACGAAGTTGAAGAGCATTGAGGACCAAAAATTCCTAAAAGTTTTGCCAAATACAGCTAAGGTAATCTATCCCTGAGGTAGAAAAGCCTTAGTATTTCAAAAAAGGGAGGTTGATGTGTACATTGGTACGGGTTTGTCTGTAAACGTTCTGTACAGGTGCTACGTATGTACATATGTTGATTAATGTCAGTCAGTTGGTTAGTACGTGTATATATACACGTAGGTTAATAAGTATGATGGTTTTAACAGTTTGTCAATAGGAATGATAGTAGACATGGTAGACATAACAGGTGTTGTCTGGTCTGGTACCCTTGGCTAAGAAAGACTTTTAATTGCCCTTGTGTTTTGCAATTTAAGGTGAATAGGCAATTAACTATGCATGCTATAATTTTTCTTTTCAACTTCCCTATTAGAAAGATAGAAAGTTATTAGAATTTAATCAGCAAAAAAAATACTGTAAGTGTAAATTCAGCAGTTCAGAAATTATTGCGTGCATTTATTATTGCGATTTTAATTTTTGCGATATTGAGAAAAATCCTGTTTAATTCATATAAAAAATTTCAAAATGCAAGTTTAAATTATTGCGATTATAACCCTGTCACATTTTTCGCAATAATAAAAATATCGCAATATTATTTCTGAATTTACAGTATTTATTTTTGAGGAAATATGAGATTCTTAATTTTATCATTTTGTTATATTGGTTAAGATACAATTTATATACAAGTGTTGAATAAAAGGAAAACAGATTAGAATAAATTGGAATTTTATGGGGACCCCCCCTCTTTTTCCCATATTTAAATGTGATTCACTTGACACATCAAGAGTGAATTTTAACAGAATTACCTTGTGTTTCTCTGTCCATTCAATACATTTGTTATATATGTGATGACAGGTTTGTCAATAAGAGAGTGCATGATCACTCAAAATCCAGGAGTAATCCTAATCACTGTGTTTCAGTGAGTTTTTTGAAATCCCCCTGTGTGTGCTGACTATTTAATAAATTTCTATTTGTATGCTAAACTGAACCATAAGATTCATTTGAACAGTGATTTTTAATTGGTTTTTACATTCTTGTGATTCTGTGTAATGTAAAAAATTAAGGAATTATTGCGAGGTTTTTATTAATGCGAATAATACAAGTGGGTGTTTATCGCAATAATAACAACTTCAATGCCTTCTGATATCATATACATTTGTACATGTATCTGTATCTGTATGCAGATTGTCCTGAAATCTCGATAATCAATCTTGCATTTTGTCCGTACTTCAAAAATCGCAATAATAAATGCACACAATAATTTCTGAACTTACAGTATTTATTATTATTTACATTCAAATTAAAAAGTTTAATTGTTAAGTTAAAACATTGTCAGAGTGACAAACACTTCCTGGTTGTGGGTTATGTTTGACCTATGACCTTATAGTTAGTTGTCCACCTAGGATGTATTATGGAAGTCATTTGAATACATTAAAAGCAATAATTGAAGTTAATTGGCTTGACCCATTGTATTATCCAGTATTATTGATGTGGTCTATTCATGTACATGTAGACATGTAGATCTGTATCTATTACATTAATATATAATGAGACAAACAAGGAAGTGGGCAAAACGTCAGCTGTGGTTCTTGACCAATGGTCAGTTTAAATTGTGGGAATATTTATGGTGATTTGTAATGTCTGTGTGAAAGTCCTTAAATGATGCTAAATATCTTGGTCAATTTGTTTTTCACATGCTGCAAGAATTATGATCATTATCATATTATTATATAATTTACATGATTTATATTTGTTTTCATGGAACAAATCTTGACAGAAATAATACATATTAGTTCTCATAATTATAATAAGATTAAACTAGTTTCTGTGGACAGTAAACATAATTGATAGACATATTTTTGATCCACTTGGCTGTCTATCAACTATAAATAATTTAATTTTCTATGTTACACGTCTTCCAGTTGCTGAGAGTTTTTTTGTCTATCAGCTCATAGACATAATTTTGTCATGTGACCGTGATGTCATCAATGTTTTTTCATGATTTACTCCTAAGAATGGAATTTAGAATTAAATTATAAGGAATGACTGTAATTATTTCTGTCTATTCGAAATAACCTCAAAAATGTGGTGCACACTTTAAAATAACCTGCATTTGTATGTGCACCACATTTTTTATGTTATTTCTTCATAGACAGAAAAAATATTACAGTCATTCCCTTAAATAACAAAAGGAAGTGTTTTAGAATGAAATGCATCCTGGGTAATATTTTTAAAAGCAAGGCCAAATTTCTGCCCTATGCTTCACACAGCTGATTTTCTTTAATCTGAGTGGGAAAAAAAGAAGATGTAAAGGAGCAATAAAAAATCATAAATTGAGGGTCACGTGTATGTATAGATACATGTAGATTTAGATTTTTCTTTTTTTAAGAATTGCATATTTAAAACTGTTGCATTTTTTTTTACAGAGAAGATTAGCCAGTGCAGCAAAGAAGGCCATTGCAAAGATTCCACAGAGAACAGTCAAGATTGGAGACAAGGTATATATATTGTTTGGACAATGTGGGGGACTGTATTTAAATATAATATCCTGTTTTACAGGTTTTATATCTATGCTCAATGCAAATGGTTGGTCTTGTCTTTGGACTGTTTGATGTACACGTAACTAATGTGGTCACTGAAAAAGATAGTTATTAGAATACAATCCAGAAAGCAATGTTCCTTTTTAAAAAAAATTTAAAAACTACTGCAATCTTGAAAAAAATGAGATTTTTTTTTGGTGAAAATATCCTATTAATGAAAAATCAGATTTATACACAAATTTCAGAAACTTTCAGAAGAGTGGATGATGAAACCACAGTTTGAAAAGCTATAATTTACTTACAACCACAACAATTGACAGCAACGAAATTGATTAAATCCAAAGTACTTTTGTACATCATGTACATGTATTATAATGGTTTGCAATTAAAGTTAAATTTATATATTTTCATTCTGTTTTGGCATGAAATTGTTTTATTTTATTGAAACATGGATATTTATAAGAAGTTTAAACTCGTCATGATAAAAAATGGTTAGTTGAACTTGCTTACAAAAAGTCTGTAGATACCCCTGATAAATATTCATTTGCAAGTCCATATACATTTCAATTTAGACTTGTTTATATTTATGTTTGGGCTTGTATTATATTTGCCTTCAGGTTTATATGATCCGTTCATCCTATTTCGACGCTTTAAAATTCAAGAGTCTATCCTAAATTGAGGTAAATTATATGGCCTTCCAAATACCGTTTCAATTCCTAACTTCACTGAAGACATTAATTGTCGAAATCCGGATATGATGTACAAATTTTTGCACCTCATGTTTGCGGTATACCATCTTATCTGCAAGTTTATTGTTTTCTGTTTGGTATTAAATTAATAAATTAAATAAAGATCCATTTTGTTACATCTTGTGATCCGTTTAATTGGCAAATGCCAATGGCAGTCAGCAGGGTTAAAGAACATCCGTTGTTCGACCTGTTAGTCAAATGCGTTTTGTTTAAATTTACTTTTTTACTTTTTTGGTCTTTTGAAAAATGTTGTTTGTGCTGTATTTAGACCCCTCTACCAAGAAATTTGTTTTGCATGCACACGTATAAAAATTGCGGTTTTTATCCAACACAATCATAGGTTTGAACGTTGTTTTCAATTCAGACTTACATATATATATATATATATAAAGTCTCTGAATGATTGTATAATAAAAACTATAACACAATTTTCCATACGTTTCGAATGTTGTAATTTATTCCAATGAAGAAGGACGTAATGGCCGAAACGTATGGAAAATAGTGTAATAGTTTTTATTACATATATATATATATATATATATATATTAGATGCATTGAGCCAGACTTTAATAGGAAAGTAATTAAAATGTCTCTCGTGGTGTCGTTGACATCATGGTCAGTTCTTTAATGTAAGATTATTTATTGTTGATTAATACTAAGGTCAATGAATGATTAAAAAAGGATAGTCCAAGATAACTTGCAAAAACAATCTTTAGAGATATCTCTGATTGATATTCATTTGCAAGTCCATATAATATAATATATATAAACAAGTCTAAATTGAAAACAACGTTCAAACCTATGATTGCGTTGGATAAAAAGAGAGAGAGAGAGAGAGAGAGAGTGAGTCCCACTGGAAAGTAAATAAAATGTCTCTTGTGGTGTTGTTGACATCATGGTCAGTTCTAAAATGTCAGAATATTAAATGCTTATAAATATATCAATGAAATATCACTTGTGGTGACGTTGACAGCATGGTCCATCCTTAACTGTCAGATTGATATTAAGGTCAATGAAATAATTAAAATGGTATGGACCTACTTTTGTATGTAAATTTCAGGGAGACTGCTGATTAATATTCATTTGCAAGTCCATATATAGATTCTCAGTGAGTGAGTCAGACAAGGAAAGTAAATGTCTCTTGAGGTTGTGGTTTCGTCAGGTTATTAAATGTTAATTAATATTAAGGTCAATGACATGATTGAAGATGCCATTTTTGAGTTTTGTTTATCTTATTTCCCAGTAATAATTAATGCCAGTTGTAAATAGATACTTTTTTCAAGGATACAGTGTTGACAAAAATTACATGTAAACAACATGTTTTTATACAACCGCAAAAAAATTTTGCGTCATATATTGGTATCACATCGTCGGCGTCGGTGGCGTCCAAAGACATTTGGTTTCTGGACAATAACTTAAGTTTAAGTGTATGGATCTCTATGAAATTTAACCAAAAGGTTCAATACCATAAAAGGAAGGTTGGGATTGTTTTTGGGGGTGATGGTCCCAACGGTTTAGAAATTAGGGGCCAAAACAAGCATTTTTCTAGTTTCAGAACAATAACTTGTGTATAAGTATTTTGATTGCTCTGAAATTGTACCACAACAAGGTTGATTTTTATAAATTTTAGATTTTATGTTTCCAAGTTGCGGGGTTTGATTCATAAAAAAAGGGGGGATTTTCCAGTTTTCGGACAATAACTCAAAAATGCTTTCAGCAGTTCTCATGAAACTTTGATGAATTGTTGATATCTATTGATGTAAGCTCCATTTAGAATTTTATAAATTTTAGATTTTACAGTTCCGAGTTATGGGGTTTTATTCATTAAAAAAGGAGGGATTTTCCAGTTTTCAGACAATAACTCAAAAATGCTTTCAGCAATTCTTATGAAACTTTGGTGAATTGATTATATCTATTGATGTAAGCTCCCTTTAGAATTTTATAAATTTTATTTGTTTATAGTCTGACAACAGATTTACTAAGTAATGCGCAACAGCATAGTGTATTGCACAACAGCAAGAAATCTCTTAATTGAATATAAATTCAATTCATATAACCAATTTCAAGTTCTTTGACTACATTTATTCAGAAACCTATAATATGTCTAATATTTAATTACAATCCAAATTCAGACCTGTATCAAGCTTGAATATTGTGTCCATTTTTGCCCCAACTGTTCAGGGTTCGACCTCTGCGGGCGTATCCAGCTGCGCTCAGCGAAGCAGTTTTTATTCTAGTTTTCAGACAATAACTTGTGTTTAACATGTTTAAGTGTATGGATGTCTCTTAATTTGTACCACATTTTATTTTTTCAAAATTAATTTTTATTGGAAAAGGGGAAAAAGGGGGGGGGTTAAATTTTTTTTTGGGGGGGGTCAATTTTTTTTCCCTCAAGATTTAAGAAATTGTCAATTTTCCAAAGAAAAAAATTGGGGGTCACAATTTGTTTTGCTAATTCTTAATATATAGTCTGAGAACAGATTTACTAAGTATTGCGCAACAGCACAGTGTATTGCACAACAGCAAGAAATCCTCAATTGAATATAAATTCAAATCATACAACCAATTTCAAGTTCTTTGACTACATTTATTCTGTGTCAGAAAACCTATAATGTGTCAAATATTTAATTACAATCCAAATTCAGACCTGTATCAAGCCAGTGTTCTCCCCAGATATTTCATTTAGCATCCTGGTAAACACGGGAAATTGAAATACCATCTTGTTTCTAAAAATTATAGCATCACATCCATAACACAATATATAAGAAAATCATTTCAGATAGCATCACATTTAAGATTATAGCATCACATTACCATGATGCTAAAAGGCCCTAGGGAGAACACTGCAAGCTTGAATATTGTGTCCATTTTTGCCCCAACTGTTCAGGGTTGGACCTCTGCGGTCGTATCCAGCTGCGCTCGGTGAAGCTGTTTATTCAAATAGTATTTGCCTTTTAACTTTTGATTTTGTATTATTAGTCTTTCAGTCACCCCGGTTCAGATACAATGTAAGTGAAATAAAAAAAAACATTCAGCAAATATGTTCTTTGTGGATTCATTATTATTCAAGGGGTTCCAATTTTCATGGATTTCCTGAATAAAGATTAACCACAAATTTGAATGCTAACCAAGTAGAAATTTTCTATAGACTTGTATGATGTCTTTGGCAAAACCAAAAAATTAAAGTATCCATGAAAATATGTTTTCTCCTCAATCCACTAAAATTTGTACCCATGAAATGAACGAATCCACAGTAATCCTTTTCAGACGTATTGCATGCACCAAACTTTTCATAAAAAAAATATGAGGTCAAATATTTTTATTCTCTATCAAATTTTCAATATCATGAATACTCATGGGGGGGGGGGGATAGGAGGTGCTGCTGGGGTTCTGTTACCCAACCTTTTCATATAATTTAGATTTTAAAAATGTATACCTTTTCATATATTGAGTAGGTAAAAATGTAACCTTTTCCCATATTGATTGGGTTTTGTGTGGTGTGTTGGAAAAGTGTCTCAGATTCCTTATGTAATGTTTACTTACGGCGACATTTTCGGCTGTGAAAAAAGTTCAGGGCTTTTCGTATAACAAGTAATTGGAACTTTAGTGACCTTATCATATATTTCTGATAGATTTCCCCACCTATTCATATATTTACAAGCTGGAAAATGTGACCTATTCCAGCGGCACATCCCATCACCTTGTAAAGGAAGTGGCCCCCTAGCATGAATATGGTCATGATGGTACTAATACACCATATTTTAATTTTACAGGAGTTAGAATCGGAGTTTGATCAGTGTGCTGTTTGTATAGAGGGATATAAAGCATCAGATGTTATCAGAATACTACCTTGCAAGTAAGTATATATTTCTTTTTTGCACCACAGCTCATTAATTTTTAAGCCATGCAACTAAGTGGCTAGGTCAATATAGTGTTTCATTGCATCGTTCTCTCTGTCATTCCTTCCTCAGTCATCCCATTCTCTCTATCAATCCTTCATTCTCTCTATTATTCCTTCCATCTATAATTTTGTCCTTATAAAAGGAAAACCGTTTTCTGGACTGTTGTATAACACTAATGCAGATCTTTGAATTGGTACATTATAAACATATATACATGTATAATGATGACTGTTTCAGTTTGTGATTCAATCTGGTTGAGTGACTCTTGTCTCAGAGGATAAATATCCTAACCAAGGGGATGGTGTGGTAGAATCTATACTTATAGAACAGGAGGGACAATTTTGTCTGCATTAAGGGGGCATTAAGGTTTACCCTTGTCCGTACATACATCCCAAATTTGGTTTCCGTTCTCTAACATTTTATTATTCCTCAACCAAATGATGTGAAACTTATACACAATGCTTATTACCACAAAATTCAGATCAATTTCAATTTGGGTGGCGTCCCCTTTACCGTTCTGGAGTTATGCCCCTTAATAACGGTATATGCAAGCGGGGCATCATCTGTTGTCCCGTGGACACATTCTCCATTTATTTTGTATTTATATACAAAATTATCAGTTTCATATATAATATAATTTGTATTCATTTGTTTAATCAAGTATCCATGAAAATACAATTTTTCTTGAATTGAGGAAAATCCGTACTTGTGAAAATTAATGAATCCATAGTATTGTGGATTCATTTAATATTCGTGGCTACCAATTTAAGTGGATTGAGGAAAAATTGTATTTTGTGGACATTTGATTTTGTGGTTTTGGGCTGTTCCATAAAAACATACATGGGACCCAGGGAAGGCACTTCCAAATCTTAACTATGGGTGGGTGTGATCTATGTTTTTGCATAGTGGAAATGTAAGTAAAATTCAAATTTGCCTCTATAGGTGGTTACTCCATTTTTAAAGTGCCTTCCCTGGGTACCATGTATATTTTAATGGAACAGCCCTTTGGCAAAGTCTCCAATTCAGCCTATGAAAAAATTGTGCTTTGAACATTTATATTCTTGGTTTACCAATAGCCACACAATTGACGAAATCTGGGATCCACAACATATTAATTAATCGACAGTATATGAAATGACAATGTTCAGACTTAAACACCTTTCCTGTAGTTGTCTGAAAGAGAATATAAATTACTATGACGGGAGCAATATCAAATCGATATTATGGCTGATAAATTCTCACGTTCAGTGGACAAGATCCTTTCTATCTTTTAACATTGTAGACATATTGATTTTATATCTTCTCCATAAAAGTAATTTATGATCAGTACCGAAACTACCTCAAGATTCTGAATTCCCTTGAAATTTGGCAAATGTATAGTTTAAGGACATGTTATTCGGTACTTCGCGAATATATCATTTAATATGAACTTGAAGGTGTCCTTTAAAATTATGTATTAAATTTTCTGTAAATGTTTTCCATTTCTAAACAGTGTATTTATATCAAATAACGCAGCTTGCAGTTTTGCAGATCTCTTTTGTATTCTGGTATTTGGTTTCATATTAATATGGAAGCTAAAGGAAGAATTATCGATTTTTTTAAGCTCGTAATTATGTGATGACAGCTTTCTCTGTCTTAATCATTTGTGGTGCATGATGAGGTAGATTTCTTGGTTTTGATTCATTGGCTGGTGGAATTCTTAAACATCATTTGTTGTAATGAATTTTATAAAAAAAATTCTTTCATGTCTTCTATACTTTGATATAAAAAAATAACCTTGATATAAAAAAAATAACCTGGAAACAATTACATGTTTTCATCAATAATTTTTTTATTAAAAGTCTTTTCTCATGTGCAAATGTAATATTTACACCTAGATCAGAGGCAGTTTTAGGGGGTGGGCCTACTTAAGGAGCTAAATATATGGGTAATGCATAGACATTTTACATGTCCCACTCCATATTAAACGTTCTCTAGTTTTGTCAAAATCATGGATCAGCATCTGTTGACATGGTTGATGTCGTTTAATGTTATTGGATAACCTGCATTTAACATGCTTTTCCAAAATATAAGGTCAAATTGCTGAAATACCCCCTCTAGATAGCTTAGTTATTGAAATCAATCATTTTACAATAAACAATGGTGTGAATTAGATACTTCCTATTAGGTCAATGCCCTCATGGGTGTATCTTATACATATTAAATGGAAAAAATTAAAGCTTTGCCTATCATGCCTATATTTTTTCCTTCAAAACATGATATCTATAATAATTTCCATCAATTATTCATATTTTGTGCAGATTTAATTTATTATTTATTAAGATTCTATTAAGATTAAAACATTTATTCATATATGATATATAACTTGTCATCATTTTCTGATCAGGTCTCTAAAGAAAAACGATAAAAAAAAAACCTTATAAGAATACTTTGACATGCATGTTGTATCATTGTTTTTAACCATGGCTTTTATTCGAAAGTTCATCCTAAAGTGGGTTACACTTAGTATAGCTATAGATTTAAAAGTACAAACAAATGTATACATAGAAATATTATCATTACACAGAGTTCTGAAAATTTTTTTTCCCTGTAGGTCCTTGAAGAAAATTAGCTGGTCCTCACTAGTCCTTTGACAATTTTGGCCAAAACATTTGGACCACCACTTTTTGAGAACTTTGATTACATATATACTTTTCATACGATTCTGTAATTTTGATTGGCTGAGGCATTCCAAAAGTTAAAAATAAAATTTTATTCCCCAATAAAATGCAGCATCTATGACTGCAAGTGCTCTCCATTATAATGATTATAGCATAAAAAGGTAAAATTTTATAAGAATTGAATGCTTCTTTTTGTAATTTTTATAGGGTTGTAAAAGCTTTGAAACATTTTTAGTATGAAGCACTTCCACGCTTTATACAAAATGTGCTTTGGCCAATGCTTTTTCACCCTAATATGAGTTTACAAAAAGAAGCATTTAATTCTTAATAAATGATATATAGTAATTCCAATCATAATTATACTACGGTTACGACCCAGGGATCTAACTCCAAAGATAAACTCCATGTTTCACAAAAACTTAGTTCAATAAAATGTCATGCAGATATGATATTTATTTCACATTATTCTCAGAAATTTCTAGTTACATCTTCCGGATGATCTTCGTTATGTCATACCATGTGACACTATTTCAGAAATCCTTTATTGTTGTTCTTCCTGTTTTCCCAAAAAAAACCATATTGTTAAATAGGCGTATAATAATTGAGCAATAATAACTCCCAGAGTACATCTTGCGTAAACTTTCAAGGTTTGACTGAATAGACTATTTTCATATTACCAATTTTTGACTCTGGAGTATTTTAAGTTTTTTTTCGACAGGTTACCTGTTCTGTGGTATGACATTCTGGTGCTTGGTCAAGTAAGAGCAATAAAAGAAGTAAAATCAAGCTTACAATTGGTGCAATTTGGAGAAAGAGTAACTGTTTTCCAGTGATTTTGTCGTGTATAGAAAACAGTTAATTTTCTCCCCAAATTGCACAGATTTTAAGCTTATGTTTACTTCTTTTGGTAGCTCTTTGTTGCACCTCAGAATAGGTAACCTGTCTGGAGTAAAAAATTGGTAATATGAAAAAAATCTATTGAGATGAATGTAAGAATGTAAACACAACATGTCAATGTCCTAAGAGGAATGTATGTTAACACTGACATGTACTGTTAACCCAATGTGTTGTCTTCAGCTTGGGTGAGATCAGTTGTAATGTTTGAGACCTTTTCTGATCTGTCCGACTCTTAATACCTGTTTTCCTACACTTTGAATTACAAGTGGATATAAGTTTTCTAGTTTGAATTGTTTTACAATTGTCATTTCAGGGACTTTTATAGCTGACTAATATGCGGTATGGGTTTTGCTCATTGTTGAGACCCGTACAGTGACCTATAGTTGTTTTAACTTCTATATCATTTGGTCTCTGGTGGAGAGTTGTCTCATTGGCAATCATACCACATCTTCCTATTTTTATATGCTTACCATGACACTTTTCAGTTATGTAAACATACATTTGTACATATCCTAATAGGAAATTTGTATTTCCTTGTTCATTTTAAATCTGAGTTCACCTTAACCTCAAATTCATGATAAAAGTACTCCACAAATGAATACACAGTATATGAAACTGATAATTTTACATATTTTTAATCCAATTCGCTGCCTGTATTATGAATATAGATTCTACCACATGATTCCCTTGAATATTATTTATCCACTGGAGATAGTTACATTCTTGTTACTGTTATCAGTACGCTCAAACTTTGCTGCAGAAGAAAATTTTACAATTTGAATGTTTTATCTTATTGAGACCTTCAAACCTTATTTTGGACCTTCTGGTTCATAATTAACCCTTATTCAGAACTATTCAGGTTCATAATTCAACCTTATTTGGACCTTACGGTTTATAATTCATCCTTATGCGTACCTTTTGGTTAATAATTCACCATTATTCGGTCCCTCTAGTTCATAATTCACCCTTATTCTGAACTTTGGTTCATAATTCAACTTTATTTGGACCTTCTGGTTCATAAATTCACCTTTATTTGGATCTTCTGGTTCAAATTCACCCTTATTTGGACCTGTTGGTTCATAATGCCTACTTATTTTATTTCAGACACATATTTCACAAGTCGTGTGTTGATCCCTGGTTATTGGACCAGAGAAGCTGTCCAATGTGTAAGCTAGACATCCTCAGAGAGTATGGCATGCAAGTTCATGTAAGTAGAAAAGACATTTTTTCCAAAATGGAGAAATTAATTGTCCAGCCTGATTAAAACATAGTTCCTGTGTCAATACATTGTGTACAATGATATGATTATGACAATTATATATAAATTAGAAGATATGGTATGAGTGCCAATGAGACAACTATCCATCTAAGTCACAATGTGTAAAAAGTAAACAATTATAGGTCAAAGTACGGCCTTCAACACGGAGCCTTGGCTCACACCGAACAGCAAGCTATAAAGGGCCCCAAAAATACTAGTGTAAAACAATTCAAACAGGAAAACCAACAGTCTAATCTATACAAAAAAGGAGAAACAAGAAACACTTATGAACCACATCAACAAACAACAACCACTGAACAACAGGCTCCTGACTTAGGACAGGTGTATATGTTCTTATTCTATGCTTCAAAAGAATATAAATAATTTATAAAGAAAACTAGACAATATCAGCTCGCCACGACACCGCAGAAGCTTATTTTATTACAAATAAAACACAAAATGTTCAATTTGCTGTCATCGACCGCTGCCATCACATATAAACATTATCTACAATAGAAAAGTATTCTATAAGTTGAAGAACAAAATCTTTACAGTATTACTGTAAAGATTTTGTTCTTCAACTTATAGAATACTTTTCTATTGTCTAACAGTACAGTATCGTTTTACCACCCACTCTATATTAAATATAGATCATAATATACTATTTACTAGATGACATGTACTTTCTTCTGAAGTAAAGGATGGGTGGGTGGGTGGTAAAACGATACTGTACTGTCAGAAAGGCGAATCTCGAATGACAATTCTAGACTTACTATACTATAATCTAGCGCTTAAATTCTAGAATTAAATTATCATGATTAATATTACCTAAACAGGTAATAACTTACTTACTGTTTATCATATCAAATTCAACATAAACATGTTTGGATTTAAGCACACATGCATACACATGTTAAAAATACATTACTCTGTTTTGGTAATTATAATATTAGCCAATGAAAGTTCAGCTTTCAAATTTTTGATGGTGTTTATCATTATGATAAAACCAGAGGATCCTGAAAGGTCTTTAAACTGAAGGTAGAACATAGCATGTTCAGATCATTGTCAGTGATGTGTGGACACAGGGTCTGTATTTCATTCAGATTGAAAATTATCCATGGAAAAAATCTGAAAAAAATACAAGTTTTAGAGGCTTATATTACTAGAATGATTGGAAACACTCCTTTTAAAGTAAAAATAGCATGGAAGAACCTTGTCAGACCCACTGAAAAATATTATTATACACATCCATTATAGTTAACCTGCAGACCTCATGACATAAGTATTGTTAAATAAAAAACACAAAAACATGAAGATAGAGAGACAACTAGAAAAGAAGCATAAAAAGGAAATGAGGAATCACTGGAATACTAGACAGTATATCAAACCAAATCAACCTACAGGTTGCACTTTGTAAATACAGCTGTTTCCCAAACCACGCCTCTTTTGGGGAGATATATAATATTCATAGATATTTCGTTTTGTTTAAGCACTGGTTCCCAGATATGATCTCTATGTTTCATCTCATAGAGACATAACTTGGGAATGTTACCAGTATAAAAACATATGGTTGCGGTGAAAATTGAATTCTGAAGTAGGCCCAAAGTGAAGGTAGGGGTAGTACAGAATTTTTGTATAAGTTTAAACTCTAACAAGTTTGGGGCATATAAATGTTGAAAATATAATGCACAGCCCTATGTTTTGACCTTTGAATAAAATAGTTGTGCATATATAAACTTTCCATTCTAGGACATTGTGTAGGATATAATTTTTTGCGAAACTTCATAGTAAAAGTGGCACAGTTTTAGCCGCAATGGGAGTTCCTATGGGAAATTGCATTGTCTATATTTACAGAAATGTAACCTACATGTGTACACCTAACTCTTGTAAAGAAAAAAGAAAAAATCATTTTTTATTGTGGAAGGCTGGTGGTTCTCTCCATTCACTACGGATTCCTCCACCAATAAAAACTAGCTGCAACAATATAGCAAGAGTGCTTTTAGTGAAATTAAACACCAATACTTAATCAATCAATCAATCAATCCAAAAATATATACATTTAAGCAATGAACATCCCACAGTTCAGTTTTACAGATAGAATCAGTTTAATTTTTGGTTTAAAGATATTTATTTTATAATACATGTAACAGTATGATATATTATAAAATATTTAAGAGTATTATAGTGAAATCTGGGTTCAATATTTAGGATATGTCCTAGAGTTATCTAGGGCACGCAGATCAAGAAAAAATGAAAGCTGATGTTTCTAATGAAAAAATTAACATTTGACACAAAAGTGCAACCATCCACAATAGATAATTTGAGGGCCTCCCATTCCCCCTACACAATCACTTTTAGAATATCCCTAAAATTGCTTTTTGATTGCTAAAAGCCTTGTTTAAAAATTGTCTGTTCTGATTGTTTGGACAGGGTGACTGCCATTGACATTGACATTGAAATGCAATGTATGTACAGTCTATGAAAAATATTTGTATTTTGATAACATTTAAGTGTTCATATCAACCTCAATTACTTTTGTCCTTGGGAGATTTGAGTGAAATCAGGAAACTATATGAAGTAGATAATGCAATAAGTTGTTTGATAGTTTTAGATAACAGTTAATATATGCATCAGTTTTTGACCAGATGTAACCACAAGTATTTGAATATATGTCCTGGACATTGACCTCATTCTACTCAAGAATTCTTTAAAACAATTGAGAATTAAACTGTTATTGAATAAAAGATGGATTAAATTTTTTAGGGGGAGGGAGAGGGAGGCAAGACTAGGGAGTCTTAGGATGTAGTTTTTAAATTTGTAAGTTTACAGAATTTCCATCATTAGTATATGTCCTGTACATTAATCTCAATCTACTCAAGAATTCTCAAGTATCAAGCTGTAATTGAATAAAAGATGGATTAATTTTTATTGGCGTGTGGGAGGAAAAGTGCAAGCCTAGGGAGTTGTAGGATGAAGTCTTTAAATTTTTAAGTTAAAAGAATTTCCACCATTTGTCTACATCCTGGCTTTTGACCAAAGTCTATACTCAAGAATTCTTCAAAACAATCAGGAATTAAACGGTAATTGAATAAAAGATGGATTATTTTAATTTTTTTGGAAAGGAATAAAGTATGGATTAATTTAAATTAGGGAAAGGGGGAGGAGGGCAAGCCTAGGAAGTTTTGGGATTTAGTTTTTAAATTTGGAAGTTTTAAAAAAATCCATCTTCAGTCTGTTTATGTTTCAAGGCATTTTTGAAATATTTGAAATAGCAAGGAAGTCGAAATTCTTTCCCACAGGTCTTACTGTTAGAAATCTTTTGTTACTATTACATAATATAATATTTTAAGTTTAAACTTTTCCCTCTTTAATCATCTTGGTCAAATAACAATGATATCATAATCTGTTTTTGACATTAAATCCAAGTGTTTTTCTAACAGGTCAGGTTTATAAAAAGAAAAAGGTCAAATTTGTGATTTTCTTGTTTTTCATCAGCTTACTGGTCCGTGATAAGAAAGAAAAAAAGGTTACAGAAAATGTTTGAATATTAACCATGTTAATAAATTTTTTCCTGCAATCCTTTTGATCCTTTTCTGCTGTGTTTAAAAAAGGTTACTTTTAGTTTAGTTTAGTTTTTAAGTTGAAAATTTTTGCAAGGGGTTTACTTTTGCTAATTTCAATATTTAGGTGAAATCGGGAAATTATTCTATCACGTAAATTTGACTTTAAGGAAGATAACAATCAGGAACAAGAAAAATGCAAGAATAAAACCTCTTGAACAGGTTAGGTCTTTGAAATCGTGAAATCTCTGCCAAACTAGACCACTTCACAGTTAACCAGTATAATTCAGTCCTTTGTCTTTTCAACTTGCGAGGGCCTGCACATTTTATACTATAAAAAGTGTCACGAATCAAGGATTTTGATTGGAGCTCTCTGGATGAGAGAGCCAATCAGCGGTAGCTTAATGTTATCAACATAGTTAAATCCTGAGCTAATTTGGAATGATTTAAATTGGCAATTTTTCATTGACTAGGATTTCAGTCGTTAACTGATTCGACCCCAAGAGATTTTTGGAAAAGCAGGCATATTTTCTGGTGGGTTTGAACCCACCCCAGCTGAAAAATGGTCATTGCAGACTTTTTCAATTTTAATAGGACCTTGAGAAGTGGACATTGACAAAATTTTGTTTGTTATTCAATTATTACCTTGTAGTTACAACTGTCCATCCATACTGACTGGAAGTAAATGTGACTTGAGTGTCTCGCTGGGGAATTATTATTGGCAAGCCAGGTCTGCCTAAATGTCCGTTTTTACAGATTTCTGAAATATTAAAGACCAGATTTTTTTTTGGCCATATTATACCTCCTTGTGTCCTGTACCACCTATGCATATTAGGATAATAGTTATTACTTACGGGCCATACCATTACTGTAGTGGCCATTAAATGAATCCCACCCCACCTGATTTGGGCTACTTTTCACATTTTTCCGATTTTGAACTCAAAGAAAGGCATTAAGGTTGTCATATTTTCATAAAAACACATCTTGGAAGAGTTTATGGACCATGAACTGCATGGTTGAACTTCCTGCTATCAACACAGATCAGCTGGGGCAGTTCAAAAAAAGTATGGAGGATCATATATACGGGCCATCTAAGAATGGCGGTTGCAATCACTACTACAGGTGGATTGGGGGCGAAGGGGTAAATGTAGGCATTTAAAGTAGGAAAATATAATGACTGATTATTTAGGCTACTTTATAGTATATAGCTGTTATTCCATGAGTTCAACATATTTAGGAGCTAACCATACATCTACATTCTGTGTTTCATTTACCTGTGTACTTTTATCACATGCTATAAATAGATTTGGATGTGCAGTATATATATGTCAGATCAAACTATTTTCTGTGCTAAGAACTTCATTATTGAAAAATTTTAAAGGAAATTTTCAAAGTAAAGTCATATGCTTATATATCCTAAATAATTATTTAGTTCCAATTAAAAACATTAATATGCAATAAATGTAATAAACCAGATCAAATTTTTTAACAAAAGTAATGTGTTTTAAGTTTGTATCAAACTGTATGCAGGTTTAGTTTAGTATAAGTTTATTTTTTTTCTGGGTAGCTGATTGGTTTTGAAAATTTGACTTAACACCCAAAAAATATTTAAAAACAGACACGGCCAAATGATCTATATGTATATTGTAACCTAAGTTGATTAGGATAGAACTTGGTACCAAAGTATTCAGGGTTATTGTTTAGTATATGAGTTTGTTTTTTTCTGATTGACTGATTGGTTTTTGAATTTTTTTTTAAAGTTTTGAAACCAATTTAAAACAGACATGGTCTAATGGTCTGGATTATGGACTAAATGTAACTATATCAATTTGGCTTTACCTTTTTTTTTTAACAACAGAATTAAATCTTTATTTCAATTTCTTCTATGTTACAATTTTGCTTGACCTTAATATTACTTTCCTGTTTACAATCGTGTTTACATGGTTTGTCAAGTGTGGAAAATGACACAACAAATGATCTTTATTTTAAGTTGGTCAGATTTAAGTCGGAAAAAGTTATACAATTATACTAAGTCAGCTTTGTGATTATTTAACCTACATTTGTAGTAAACTAATAAAAAGTCACTAGTATTTTCTACCATGTTATATGAATTCACTTTGACAAAGAGGAAAACAAAATCTAAACTTAATCTTTATGCACCAATTTAAAGTTTATTAAAGAGTTACATGAGTTGACCCAGGGTCAATTGGCCTAAATAATGTCACCAAACAATTTGTTTTTACTATGAAGTAATAACATAAGCATTTTGACATAGGAAATATAGGAAAGTGCACGATTTCAAAAGTCATCTTTTTAAAGACATAATTTATCAGTGACTTTTTAAAAAAAAAGTATATAGCGAGTCCCAGCTTTTGAAATTGAAGAAAATACCGTGAAAAGGTTTGAATGTTATTGAAAAGAGAGAAGAAAAAAATAGTGTGTACCTTTTTTGTCTTTCTTTATTCATATATATATAGGATCAAAACAATGAATATTTCATTATACAATAAATTTATTAAACTTTTGAAGAGAGCCTATAGAAAATGTATACTTTGTTCATTATTTTAATTTATGGTTCACCTAGGCCTATACCCACAAAATTCATGAAAATTGACTCCACAAGTAATAATGAATCCACAGTACTTATAAACGTATAGAGCAAATTCGTAAGTTGTTTATCCTTGTTGTCTGTTAACGTAAAATACACTAGCAGTATATTATAATTATATGAATCATTATTTTTTGCAGTTAAATAGTAGTCAAGAGACTGTGCATGCTGAAGCTGAAAGTGGAGCTACAGCCTCTGCCATCGGGGACGACACAGAACATTTATCGTCCCCAGAGGAACACAGCCGGGCAGAAGCCATTGTACTAATAAGACATCAGCCTAGTTTCCAATACCATGGCTCGGACACATTCTGTGCAGAGACTTCACCACATACCACAAATATTATGGCTCATATAGAGCTGGAGGATGAAGACAATAACTTAAGTGACAACGAATGCAACGAATTACACTCATTAATGACAGGTTTGCCCAGAAAAGACAGCGGTGCCTCCACAGACAAAGGAGACGTCTAGTGTCAGCTCTAAGGAGCCGTTTTTTATTTGTGCATTATCAAATGGAGATTAAACTTTTTCTTTGAGGACTTTTAAGGTCCTTTCTCAAAGAAATCTTTCACAAATTTAATGTGAAATTGTGGTTTTCTTTCATTCAGTTGTAGAAACGAAATCTGCAGACTTTTGATGAAACAGTGTTGTTTTTACTTTGAACAAAAGTCCGATCATAGTACTCTGTTACCTCCTAATTGAGTCCTTTTCCATGTTGAATATGACATGCATTTACATGACATGAATTCATGCAGAAGTCATCTTATGTACATCTATATAAAAGGAAGTAATTCAACGCATAAGCTCCATTTGTTGTATCTTGTCAACATTCACAGACACTGATTTGAAAAAGTGAAATTCCAGTTCAAAGAATATTTGAAAGGGGAGATAACTCATCCCAAAGAGGAGACAACCCTGTAGCTGTCATAGAAAGATAGTTGCATATTTCACAAATTCTCATTACTACTAGTCTTATTTGTTATTGAAGTTGTTAAATTGTTGTTTATATGTATGAAAGTTATGGTAAAAGTAAGTAAAGTGCTTCATGGTAATATTGTGTAAAAATGTATCCCATTATTTATATTGTTTCTTGCATTTGTAAAATAGTGTTTGTCAATTCACATGTCTGCATTCAGCAGTTTTATTTGTGATTTTCATTCCATGCATGAGTGGCATGACCTTTGATGCCATTTTGTTCTTTTGTTGTCACATGATCTGAACAATCAGATTCATTTAAGTCACATGACCTCACCTCAAGGCTATATTTATAAATCTGTCACATGTCTCCTTACATCCAATCATATGCTACATTTGTAGTACCTTATTCACAATTCACTGTGTTGATAATTGTAAATATTTATTTTGTGTCTTTACACATTTATAGGACACTTTGTATCAAAGTTGAAAAAAATACAGTAATTCAATCATATAGAGAATTGAAAAGGAAAAATTATAAATGAAAATAATTTTACTATTTTGTTTTCTGTGCAATTTTTTTGTAGATATTACGAATCTAATCAGGCACTGTGTGAATGAGGATGAATGTTGATCCCGTTTTAGACTCCTTGTCAAAGCCATGTACAATATAGCATTTTGAAGTCATACTCCATCAGTTGAAGAGAATGTAGTGTAGACACACTGTGACAGTAGGGAAGAAAAAAACAGACAGAATTCCCAGCACTTATCACTATTTTTTGTGCAGCTAACTGCCAATCTTTAGAAAATTTTATTTTACAAAATAAGTAGTACTGTAAAACAAAAATATGTTGTCATATTTTCTTGTATTCTGGATTTTCATTATTCTCAAAAGTTAAAATAGGTTTTCAAGCACATTCTGCTCTGTTAGCCTCTAGTCTGATGCCCCAGACTAGTAAAATTTTATTCAAACTAGTAAGTTATTGCAAAATTTTGTTTAGACACATTAGGAAAATTTCTGAGTATTGGTCTTTGGACTAGAAGTTGCATAAGAATTTGGTACAGACTGAATATGTATTATTTCTGTCAAGGTTTGTTCCTTGAAAACAAATATAAATCATGTATATTATATAATAATATGATAATGATCATAATTCTTGAAGTATGTCAAAAACAAATTGAACAGGATATTTTAGCATCATTTAAGGGCTCTCTCACAGACATTAAAATCACCATAAATATTCCCACTATTTTAAACTGACCATTTTGCCCACTTCCTTGTTTGTCTCATTATAAATAAATGTAATAGATACAGATCTACATGTCTACATGAATGGACCACATCAATAATACAATGGGTCAACTTCAAGCCAGTTAACTTCAATTATTGCTTTAAATTTTTTCAAATTACTTAATTCCATTATAGGAGGGCTAACACATGATGAATTTTGATGATAAGGTCATAGGTCATCAAACTACCCACAACCAGGAAGTCATTGTTACGTATACAATGTAAATGTAAACAGATTGCAAGTGCTTTACTCTTTATAGCAGATGTTCTAAAAGAAATTTGTTTGTTAACTGTAAATGAAAAAAAAGCAATTAGTAACAAATTGCAGAAATGAAAGTCAAATAACCAGAATATGTTTCTAAGCAAATTATTAACTTCTTTGTCTCATTTCATTCACCCATAATCAGTTTTCATTTCTGTACATAATACCTTTGGCCATTTTATTGAGAAGAACGAACAAATAACGTGAATAACAACACGTAATCTCTACCTGAAGTTAATGACATTTTATTGAATATCTGTCATAGTGTTTCTCAGTTTGCGGCATGTAATTATACCACACATCACTGAAAACTTTGAATCTATAAAAGGAGACAAGCCTTTTTAATTAAATTCTTGTTATACACATTTAAGAATTTATATAAGATGTGTGTTTTATTTGTAAACACGACTTTTGAAAGTAAATGAACGGTGCAGATTTTAAAAGGCATCGTCTGAACATCTATTGTGGTCATTAAGATCCAACTTTTAATGTTTTGGCTCTGTTTGAATTTTTTATCTAATTTTGAATTCTCGTTCAAAAAGATGATAATGAACGTTTTTCTTCAATTTATTCACTGTTTTGATGTTGACAGTAGTTCTTTACAACTGTAAACATGTTCTTGTGAAGCAAGTTACAAGCCTGCTCTGAGGATCCTCTTTTTTAAAGAGGATGTCAAAGCATGCTTGCAGCTTGCTCTTAGAACAGATCTAGGACCCTTACAATGTTACCTCATTCATAAAAATTAATGTATATGTATATTGAAATTCATTGAAACCTGGCTTGTGTTTGTATTACACAGGGTTCGTATTAGACAAATTTCTCTGCATAGTAATGGCCAAGTACATGACAGGAGTTGGAAAAGATTTGATCCGTGCATTTGTTGTAAATTTTTTCGGAATTTTGTTGAGATTTGAAAAAAAATGTTATGGATACTGTAAATTCAGAAATTATTGCGTGCATTTATTATTGCGATTTTGTCATTTTAGACTAAAATGCGATTTTAATTTTGCGATATTGAGAAAAATCCTGTTTAATTCATATAAAAAAAATTTCGAAATGCGAGTTTAAATTATTGCGATTATAACCCTGTCGCAATAATAAAAACATCCCAATAATTTCTGAATTTACAGTATTTTGATGTGAAATTATAATGTTTAATGAGTGATCGATTTTTGAGAAAGGAAATTGTATAATTTACATGGTGTGGTTGAATGTGTGTGTTCAGTGTATCCCAGTGTTGTATGGTTATATGTAGAGAGACTGTCAAAGAATGTTGTTAATTAATTATTATTTATTTCATTGTTGACATTGTCACTGAGTACTGCATTGTTTATATTTGTTGCATAAGTATTGTGTACAAATTTGGAATATACATCTTTATTTAATATTTTCGTGACGACACTGTAAAAACATTTTCACATAGCAGTTGATAGTAGATGCTTTATAGAATTTGGAAAAGAGTGGCTTTTACCATTCCTACCACAGATTTTCACATTTGCCCCCTAGTTACTCTGTGCAGGCCATTTCATAGTAAGTCAGGCTCTGAAAAATAATAAAAGGGCTATAAAATAGTGTTGAAAAATTGAAAAATTTAGAAGCAAACACCTTTAGCAGCAGCCCTTAAGCATGGTCCAAGTATTCTCTTTATGAAAGCTCTTGGTATTCACATGAAGGGCTTTCATATAGAGGATGATTTGCTAAGGGTATTTTTATTAAAGATTTGCTTTCAAAACAAATATATTAATCCTAAGAGGAAAGCCTTTACAAAACACAACATTTTGTTATATTAGTTAAAGGATTTTTATAGAAATTCAGCTCAAAATAAACCAAAGAAATAAAAATTTGTTCTCATAAATTTTTAGAATATATGACTTAATCGTGATTTATAAAATGATTTCAAGCTAAATATACTTGAAGTAGTTGGCTAAGCCTTCAATTAAACATTTAATTTATTATTCAGTTTCGTCAAAGAAGGGTTATTTTTTAAACTCTTCCAAAGGGGATGTTACTTGAGCAAGCAGGGTAAAGTTATACAGATCAAATATCATTGTTTGGGCTGGTTTAATGAAGTTTTGTCCCTTGTTGATTTATTTGTTAGTAAAAAAATGTTTATTCATACTTTGATAATGAGGTTTTATGTAAAGGGTTTATCGATATTAGTAATTTCTGGGTTTTTTTTACTGATATTTGCAAGAATTGTTTGATAACAAATAGATTTTACCTTTTCGATTTTGCTGTTATTTTTCTGAATAATGAAAAACAATAGTGTGTTCATAAATTTGATTTTTAAGAGCACTTTGTGTAAATGTGTACTCCATGAGATATTAATATTTTGTTGGTTTGAGGTAGGAAACACAACTTATAGACATTTATCATTAAATTTATGGTTTTCCAATTTACTTGGTAGATTGTCTTGATTGACCTTTGGCTTTTGGCTAGTTACAAACATTGATTAAGCAATACAAAACAACATAATACATCCTGATTGAGCAACAGTTAAATTTAAATAATATTGATAATTTCTCAGTTGATAAATTATTGGAATTAACATCAAAACTGTGTTTCCTGAGGCAAAGTTGACTAAATTTGTAAGTCCCATTTTGTTATAATTCCCCATATAGTTATACATCTTTGACATTTTGTCTATGATAGCCTTTCTTGAAGATCAGTCCAACCAATAGATTGGAATTGTCCAAATTCGTTGTATTAGAACCTTATTCATAAAGTGCAATTCCATATTGTTTTGAAGGGGAAATGCTTTTACAGGTTAATCATTAAACATCCCTTTTCCCAACTGTTATCGTAATTTTTATACGACCAAAATTATTAATGTTATTTGTAGTACCCTATTTTAGAGCTTACGTTATCAAATTGAAAGAAATATGTTGTTATTTAAGGGAGACCGAGGAAGAAGGACATTACTTTTACTCAAGTCACTTTTACGTTTGTTTTTACCCTTTTCATAAATATATTCTAAGCTTCTAAATAACACAGTTAAATTAAAATCTGTGTCCCATGAATGCTTCACAAGCATTGCTGAAACTGACAATTATTTCAAACACATTACTGATTTAAAGAGAAGAGTCATCTCCCTTTTCCTAGGTTTACCTCGTTAATTTACAAGCCCATAAGTCTGAAGAATGGTTTGTGAGACATTGAGAAGTAGGGGGCGCCATGCTCTGAAACTCACCATATCATTTATAAACTTGTGTATTTAGTCATTGATGAGGCAGCTTGATATTATATTGTGTTCTTGAATAAATTGTGTGGTGTATCACAAGGGTCAAGGTCAGAGGGTTTACACAATAAATATCTGACATTATTAGACATATTCAATTCTTTATTATGAGATAAAAATTGTGGAGTGATCTTGAAAAAATTGCAGTAAAGGGAAAAAATCAAATTCAGAAATATAGCACTTAGAAAAAGATTTAATGTAATGTTAGCTAAAAATGGGAATTGCTGAAATTTTTTCTGTATTAATGTGAGTGAAAATTTTTTATAGGTATCTTAATTTATCAACTTGGTAACAGCAGTTTAATTAGGTTTTTTGCTGGTGTAAATTTCTGAATTTTGATTAAATAAAGTTAATTTTAAAAGAAATAAACATTTAGAAAAAAGCATCTCATTTCACTGCCAAGAATTCTTTTGGATTCCAATTCTTTGCGATCTGCATTCTGCTTAAAAAATTGTAGTTTTACCTACAATTTTAAAGGTTTCATAAATTTCTTGGAAACAATATAAGAGTATGGTTTGAGTACATGACTGTTGCAAGGACATAAGAACTTTCTACACATTTAAAGTTATAGAGAACAAATTACATTTAATCATATGGCCAAACCACTAAAACTTAAGTATGGTTTGGACATAATTCATGTGTAGGATTTTTACTTAAAATGTAAAACAAATTGAAAGTGAAAATGATATTTTAACTTCCTTGTTTAAAATTTTTCTTTAATGAAGTAGATCAAAACAATTGGAGTCCTTAGTAGATTCTATTCAATGCATTTTATTAATAGTTCTGCATTTCATATCTAGTGATGACCTTTGACCCTTTGAATAGAAACATTTTACCACATATAATATAGTGCTATTATATCATTACGAATGTGCTTGTAAATATAAGCTTATTTCTCGGCTCGCAAGAGTGTTTGCCCAATCATGTCATTAATGAAAAAAGAAATCATTTTATTTATAAAAGAAAGGCGTGTTGCCTTTTATTTCAGTGTGACTGCAACATGCTAGCTCGTCAAATTATTTGTGGGTTGTATGTTTATTCTTGAAAACAATCTTCCGACTTGCTCTTGGCCTATTCAGTTTAAAAGCTCTGATCCTTACATTGAGTACCAGTTGATGATATGAGTTTATTTAGAAAAGATGCTCAGAGCATGCTTGGAATTTTGCTTTCAAGAATAAATTCACGACCCTTAATTTCATCAGTAAAGTTTGTAACTCATTATTGTAAATGTTCTTGATTTTCTGAAGAAAAAAAATGTGCTATATTTATGATTTCACATTTGAGATAGAGATATGTATGACAGTAAGGCAGATAAACACATAATAATAATAATATGTAATTGTTTTTAACTAAATGTCTTTTTCTAAAGGATATTGAAAATATTAGAATTTCTGTATAAGTTTCACCCAACTGGGCTTAGCCTAAACTGCTATGTAATTTTGAAGAACTTGCCCAAGGTTTTAAAACTCACTTCAGATCAGTGATTTGAAGAATATGTATACTAGGACTCAAATAGTTGATTAGAAAAAGGGTATTTCGATGTGCAAAATGAAATTCTGTATCATGGTTTACATAGATTTATGTTTTCTTAAACAGAACATCCTTCAGTTACATAGCTTTATTATTCATGCTCAGTTATGTTAAGTTAATTAAGTACTGTAAGTTTAGAAATTATTGTGTGCATTTATTATTGCGATTTTTGAAGAATAGACAAAAATGTGAGATTAATTTTTGTGATTTTTTTGAAAATCTGCATACAAATACATGTATACAAGATCTTATTATTGCAAAACTCACCCAGTCACATTATTCGCATTAATAAAAACCTTGCAATAACATCTGAATTTACAGTAATACGTGTGTACTTATAGTAGAATGACTTATTATGATTAAGACTTGAAAACAGTACCAGTTGTTACAGTCAAAGACTTATATAAGTAGTGATGATTATGGAATTATGTAGATTGTTGTTTTGAAAAATACCGGTATTGAAAAAAAAATGTTTTAATGTTATTTTGATATATTAACAAAAGGTAGATAGTCATGACCAAAAATTTATACTTTTTTTGAAATCCTAAATCAATCTTTATTATGCATTATGATTTAGAACTAATTCTGGCCATACCTGTTATGCCACTGCGTCAAAAAAAAGGAATGAGAGAAAAAAATATTTTAATCAGAAAAAAAAAAGTTACTAAGCTTTAACATGATGCTTTTACAGATGTTCATGAGATAGATTAAATCTTTATTCCGACTGTTCTAATATGATTGCCACTGACGAGTCATTAATAGACTAAATGCCAGCTGACATACAAAATTATTAGCCAGTTATTTTCGATGACTTATTCCAAGTCCTTGTTTACTTTCAAAATTGAAAAGACCTTACCATTTAATGCAGCCAGTGACACCAACATTTTTTAGTTATGGCTATCTACATTGTATTATGTAGTGAACAATGTTCTCCACAGCCCAGTTTATATGTGTGTGGATACCTCACCTTCATACCTAGATTTTCACTCTGGTTTTATGGATTTCCTGTACATGTACATGGGTTTCTTTATATGTCAGAATTCAATGAATTTTGTATGGGTTTGCAGAAGAGTGATAACTATTACACAGATATTCTTAGAACGAAGTGAAAGATGTATATTTTTTTTTCATACAAATATGTTTCGTTTCATTACAAACTGATTCGTAACATTGCAAACTTCCTAGATTTTGAATGTTCATATTTAAATTGAGATGCACTTAAATTGGTACGCTAAATGAATCTATAATTTTCATAATTTTCATATAATCACTTACTTGAGTTGCATTTGGTATGAATGTAAATTGGTTTCACTTTACAGACTTATAGTGTTCCAATCTCAATGAAGTAGTATCTGTTTAAACAATGCTAGAATTAAAAAAATTTAAAAAGCAATAAAACTATCAAAGACCCCTGATTTCAGTCTTACATACTTCTAGCCAAACTGAATACATATTAATAAATCCATGTATAATTGTGTACCTATTGTAGAGCCAGAGTATTGCTACTGTACATAAAACTCCCTTGCCAAATGAGAAATTGTATATATATCATTGTTAATGCTGGTTTAGATGTATGTTTGTTATTGCTTATTAAATCTATACCAACTATATTTTGTGTCTTTTTCTTCATGAATTAGTGTGACTTCATAGTCCACTTGTGAATACTGGTATATTGATAAAAATGGGTATGAAAAATAATGGAAACTTATACTCATAAGTAAATAGGAGGCAAATTTAGAAAATTGAAAGCAACATTCACAAAAAAAAAAAATTGAAAAAATTACATATTTTTCTTACATGTCATTCTCGTTTTCTAATTGTAACACCTCTTAATAGCTCAAATCGTTTAAAGTTGGAAAAATATGATAACTGTGGGTATCAAAAGACGTATCCTCTAAATTGGCGAACTGCATTGCTAGTGTTTACACCCATTTAATGCAATTCTTATAATGTACATGAAACAAAGTAACAATATTTGTTACTCTACCACAACATACATGATTTTTCGGTTTTCGACTTCATGTTTGATTTAGATTTCTACTGATTTTAATCGAGCGTCACAAATGAGTATATATGCAGACAAAACTAGCGTATGGCATACCAAATTACTGTAAATTTAGAAATCATTGCGAGGTTTCTATTAAAGCGAATAATGCGACTGGGCGAGTATCACAATAATAAGTACTCTCATTCTGATGTCGGATGCATATATCTGTATAAATTATGTCCATTCTTCAAAAATTGCAACAACAAATGCACGCAATAATTTCAGAATTTACAGTATAAGCCTGGTATCTTGTTCAGATTTTTTATACATATATTTTTTTGAGTTCACGAAGTTAAAGCTATAGCACTACTGTTGTGTATGTATATATGAACTACCATTTCTTGGGAGCACCACTATCGAAATAACCTAAAGGAAAAACATTTCACATTCTGTACTGGCACATCAGCTGAGCTCTTTAACCGGACAATGACTGAGTGTTGCTAGGAGACTATAACAACATTATAAAAGTGCCTAAAAATTATACTCATAAACACCATTTTGCGAAAAATAAATAAACTAAAATGAGACAGGTGTTACATGTGCAATTAGGTGATGCAGGGGATATAGAAAACCAGAAAATTGTCAGGCTTATAGATTGTAGACACTTTACTCATCTATTTTCGGACAGCAGTTTGAGTAATAAAATCGATGCAATGGGTGGTTGACGGTCTAAAGCAAACAGTTTTAGACCAACAAATTTCAAGAATTAATGAACATATAACTACCGTACTGAATATGTATGTAGAGAAGTGTATATAGTAACTAGATTTTATCTGTTAAACTCATAAGTTGAAAATAAACTGACAACGGATTGGCTTAAAAAGAAAAATCCCATCAGACAAACACTCTTACGGAGAGAGAAAAAAACACGAGTTATGTCTCTTTGAAATGTAATTTATATTGAACATAGTTATAAGCACTCCCACCCGCACATTTCTTGTCGAATTTTTATAAAGTTGTATGAAATGTTTATATCAGCGATGTCTTGGAAAAGTGCAAACCAACTAATTTTACAGGAGATAGAAATATATGGAAATAACATAATTAGCGGTCTCATGTCTACATTTCTTGAAAGATATTCATAAAAAGTTAAAAAGAACCCAAACAAATATTTTTTTTCAGTTATTGATTTGAACAGATAAAATATTTGTATCGCATGTGATATTAGAAGTCGGTTCTTTCGTTATTTTCATGGTTCTTTTTAATATTCAGATATACAATTTGGGGAATTTACAATATGGCAACCTCCGTTAACATTGTAATGTGCATGTGCAAATATTGTAAACATAAGTTTGAATTCACTAGTGTATTAACTTTTGTGTAGATTATTAATGCAACACACAAAAAAGAATCCACTAAAACACGTGAATTGATTAGGGTTTAATAGCTCGAAATGGTGTTTTACGGGATAATTTACTAGATGCAGAAATCATGGCTATGGCATACAAAAATACGCGCATCTGGCGTACAAAATTTTTATCAAGGGATCTATGATGAGTTTATTTATTGTACATTAAATACTTGATCATACATACAGTCGACATTTTCTTCTGGATTGTTCATGATTTCGTCCAAATATGTTCTCCTTTTTGTACTAACATATTTAAAAAAAACTATTGTAAGTTTTTTTCTATACATGTATTAAAAATGAGTAATATAGATCCATTGAATAAACTTAATCTTAAAGGCGATCATTTAACGTAGTAAGATCATAATATGTTGTTTTATTGGTACTAGAATTGATTTAATATTTGTTTTAAGAATTGAATGCTTCTTTGGAAATTTATTGGGGTGTAAAAGCGTTGACCGAAGTACATTTTGTATGAAGCGCGGAAGCGCTTCATTCTAAAAATGTTCACACGGTCAACGCTTTTACAACCCTATAAAATTACTAAAAGTAGCATTCAATACTTATAATTACATTTATTTGATAGTATCATGAAAACACGATTTCTATCAAGTTTTGCTTTTATTTACCTGTGCACTATATTGTGGAAGCTCGTGTCATCATGAATGTTACATTTCATTTTGAAATGAAGGTTAATTTCAGAATAACGCGAGATTGCTGTTAGCCAATCAAAATAACGTATTATAATGAAACATACATGTAATGTAATTATGTATATATTAAAAAAATAACTAAATATGTATTGCATGCTATACAGTAAAGAACACTTATGGTCCTACTTGCGGTCGATACTTTTCTCAGACGTTTTATTGCGATTGTAGTCTAAATCATTTGGATCTGTACTGATTAATATTATATACAATACGTTTAGTACTTTTGCTCCCACCCCACGAATTAAGATCAATAACACATGTAGCTGGAAGTATATTAGACACTAACAATAGGTGTAATGCCACCATTGATTTTCCCCTATTAGTCTTTGTTAACTTTGCACTTTTCAAAAAATTATGCAGAATTTATCTTTGTATCAAATAAAGAAATACTTGGCACGAGAAAAGTTCTATCCTGTCCAGTACTATAGACAAAATTTGACATGACATTTCATTGCATATAAGAAAATAACCATCACTGGAAGTTAACCAATCAAATGTTCACCCCTTTTTTTCCCGTGTACAAGCTTTAGTAACCATGTAACCTCAAGTTTCCAAAATATTCTATAGAAACACCAAATAAAAAAAATAATGGTGCTTTAAAACTCCCAACATGCAACCGGATGTGACGTACTATGATTTGGTGGTATTACACCTCTAATTTAAAAGTTATTTACCAAAAGTCGTCGACATGCATTGACTAAACATGCTGTACATACTTTATGTAACATTTACTTTTTGGATTGATAGAAACAACTTTACATGTTAAAACGTTCTTACCGAAAAACTAGTTTTGAATCTGTCATAACGGATTTACATTCTGTATTTTCGGACTCTTTAAGCGCACGAACTATGAACTGACCCTGCTGAAACAGCTGATAAAGAAAACGATAGTTCAATAATACCAATAAGAATTTTTTCATCGAAAACACTTAATTTAAATGAAATTTATTGTGACTAGAAAGCATTCTATTTATATAACTTTGCCCATAAATATCGACTAACAATGAAGAAAATAAGTAATTTCGATCAGAAAATAGTATATTTAATACTTGTAAACCAATTTTACCTTTTGAATTGATACTGGGTATTGATTTTTGAAAGTTAACTCTGGATCGACTTCAAATTTATTTATTGGTTACTGGTTCATTCGCATTAGGAAGTATGTAGATAAGAAATATGAATGCAAGATGGCCGAATCGAAGTCACAACATTTTAGATGTCACGTTTGCTTAGAGGTATTGAAATCGCCCAAAATGTTGCCGTGTCTTCACTCATTCTGTCAACAATGCATATATGAAATTATTTTGTCGACAGTAAAGAACAAAGAACCGAAACCAAAACAATTTGCATGCCCGGTATGTCACACTGTTGTTAAACCAAAAGACCCAACGACCGACATTGAAAAATGGGCTTCGCTACTGCAAGACAACACCGCTGTGGGTACCGTTGAAGGGCAGGAGTGTCATACTTGTAAACATCACAACGAAACATCCATTGCCAGCTTCTGGTGCAAAGATTGCCATGAAGCTTTTTGTAAAAAATGTAATACTATGCACGGATGGGTGAAGCTAACTTCAACGCACGATATCATCCCAATTGAAGATACAAAATATATTGATTCTGGTATCGATCTGGAAGTAATATCAGAAAAATGCTGTCTTCACACTTCCCGTTCAATCGAAGCTTTCTGTTCCGATCATGACGAACTGTGTTGCATATTGTGTTTAACCTCACGCCACCGAGAATGTGAAAATGTCAAAACAATTCACGAAATACCGGAGACAAGACGAAGTAATGAATCATTAGAAACGGTCTTACAGAAAATTAAACTTGAAATGGAAAAGGTTCTAGGAGATAAAGAAAAGAAGACGGAAAAACTAAAATCAACTGCTGAAACATTAGAAGAGGATGCTGTAAAATTCGTGCAGAAAATTAAGTGTAGGCTCGATGACATGTTTGGAAACTTTATTAAACAGCTGCGTATTATACAAGATGAGCAGGATTCAAACCTTCAAGAGGATGTACAATTTCTTAGAGATTTCGTGAGAACATTACAGCACTGGATTGAAGTAACCGAAGTCGTTAGAATATTTGGCACAGAAACACAATTTTTTATTCATTCGAAAACTATGACTAGCCAGATTAAAGAAAGCATTACACTATTTGCGATCAGATTTAGTCCAGATGTTGATATCAATCTTTCTGTCAACAAGAACAAAGTTCTTACACGGATAGTCACTGGATTGTATGACCTTGGAACTACAACTGTTGAAACGATACCCTTGAAAGTTAAAACAAAGGAACTATATAACCTGTGCAAAGATATTGAAATAAAACCAATTAACTTTGAAAATTTGTCTGTCAAAAATTTCGAAACATATTTATTCAAAATGCTAATATTACATGTGGGGTTTTCATTGACAAAACCATGTCCTTGATGGAGGTCATTTCCTGTCCAAAGAACGAAGGCTCTAAATGATAAATATCAAAACTGGTGGTATT